TGGCCAGTTGTGGACGGCCATTTGTGGACGGCCATTTGTGGACGGCCAGCTGTAGTTGGCCAGTTGTGGACGGCTAGTTGTGGACGGCCAGCTGTAGTTGGCCAGTTGTGGTTGGCCAGTTGTGGTTGGCCAGTTGTGGGTGGCTAGTTATGGGTGGCTAGTTGTGGGTGGCTAGTTTTGTGTCGCATATCCCGGGGTGTGCTACGGAGAGACAGAAAGTAGATGCTGCGGCCCCGCTAACACATCTCAAGTCCGAACGAACCAGTGCGGCAATGAGAGCAAATTGCTCCGAAGGCTCGATTTTCGATCCGGGAGTGAGCAAGAGCAACCGATCACGGACTAAGTCAGAAACTATTCATTTGTAAGCATCCTGTGCGCCATGCGTCTCCGCGAGTCAACCCACGCGGGGCAATGCAACCTGTTTTGCCCGTGCCGTGCCGCAGGGCTTTCATTCATCGTGACCAGGGCCGGAGTTCCAAACATAGCAATCCATCGTGCAGGAGACGCAACAGCCCATTGCAGCCGTGCGCAGCGTACCTGCATGATCTGCAACAGGTGCCAAGGGGAAATGGGCCTTGTCGCGCGATCCACCAGCTGATTTTGTCATCCTCTGATGAACTCGCCGTGTTCATAGGCGCACACCGATGTGTTTCCTAGACTATGGCCTACGGGCGCTGCCCTGGCGAGTGCGGGCGTTTGATTATACCGGGCACCGCTCGCTGGTTGCGAAACGGCGAACAACCATAACACCCAATGCAACGCCGACACCTCGCGTGCCGGAGAAGGATGTGCACTCAATCCACCGAACTAAACAATGCAGGGGTCCTGGGTTTTGAATGCCGTCGCTTTGAGGTACCTCAGTGTGCGAAAGACTTCACTAGGCTCACTCTTCCAGACGCGATTGCACGCATCCCTTGAAGTAGGAGAAGAACTCGTCGCCGCCCTCCGGGCTACCATCAATGCAGGCAAAGTCACCCCTTCACGTTCAGGCGCCCACCTTACCCCCCGTATCCAGTATAATTCTCATGACGTTACCTCGTGACATCAGCGACGTCAATTTTCGCCGTTGCGCAACGCCGCGCATGCACGACGAGGGCGGAGATCAAAGGGCTGGCATTACAGCGTGCTGGCTACACTACTCACAGTTCAAAAAAGCAACTTGGATCGTCCCGTATAGGGAAAGTGGTGGTCGCACGGATGTTGGTGCAGTGCGTGGCGCATGGAGTCGTCGAAGTCTCCAATGAAAGACTTTTAACGCAGCGAGAAATGTAACCATCACGTCCATCATCGCGCCGCGCAAGGCTGGCCGGCTGCACTCCCTCCGAGCCGCAGAGGTACTGAAGCTGGGCGGGTGAGATTATGTATAAATCGGACTGCCCCCCGCTGCGTCGGCCTGTGTCGGTTCCTCCAACGATGTCCCTCATGCTTCGGTCGACAAGCCTCATGTAGTCGACAATGCCCGACCTGCTCGATCTTCCGATCGAGCTTTTGACCATTATTTTCGACTATTTACGGTCATTTCACCCAAAGCACACATGCAATGCGATGCGGACTTGCCGAATGCTGCACAGTCTGCCTGTTCCTGATCGGCGTCTTGAGCTCGGACGTGCTCCTCGTGATTACATATTGGAAATGGACACTCTGGCCGAGCGTTTGACCAACCACAAAGAAGAGGGCCACCGCATCACCGCACTGCGGTTTGATATCCACGACGACGATCCCGAAATATTAGGCTCCATTCTCGCGTTGACTCCTAAGCTTTCTTCTCTGGAGCTGGTCCATCATTTAAAGCGCACGCGCGAGTGGTCCATACCCACAACGCATATCATAGCAGACGTGCTTGAAAGCGGCAAAGCTCTGAGGGGGCTAACTACTTTCACACATTGCGCTGTTCCTCCTACCTCAGATCTGGTCGAGGACATGCACCTTCTGTTGGAGCTGCCTGCACTGAAAAACATCGACTTACACTTTGCAAACACGACGCGGTCGAATTTTTCACATGACGGTTTCCCCACGGTTAAGCTCCCTGCTACCTCAAGCGTCGTGAGTATCACGTTGAGGAATACGTGGTGGAGTCCTGAAACCCTCAGTATCATGATCGGGTGCTGTGAGATGCTCCAGCACGTTGGATGGGACCCCACAAGGACTTGGGCGATAGAGGAGTATCGTACGCTTTTCGGGGCGCTTGAAAATCACGCAAAATCCATAGAGACTCTCTCTTTTTCCGGGAAGTCACACGAAGATGGGTTACATGGTTTTCCACATATCAATCAGTTCGCCAAGCTTGGGAAAATAAGCGTCAATCACCATTTCATTGATCGCCTGTTTGACGACGTCCCACGAGACCTTGAGGTTCTATACAAGCCCAAGTGCCTACACATTGATTTTCTCGAAGCATTCGAACCGAACCCCAGGGAACAAGTGTTTGAGGAGATCCACAGACTGCTCTCAAAGATCGATGGAATGGGCAACTCCACGGGGAAATACGTGCAAACAGTCGTCGTGTCCTTTTGCGCCGCCTTGTACAAGCTAGCGAAGAGGAACATCTGGGACGATGCCATAACTGCTACCACAACAAGGGGACAGGACATGGGTGTTGACTTGAATTGGTTGTCGGAGGAGAAACCGATGGTGCGCAACGGCAAGTTCATTGTGTGGGAAAGGGGGTCTCGTGGTCTAGACCCGGCAATCGTCCCACGACAAAGATTTGAGTGCCCGGGAATCAAAGGGGCGTGGACGTGTACACATGTGAGGGAGACAGTATTTTGGGTCCCTGAGGATAGTGAGGCGACCGATAGCGTGACTGAAGTGTAATGTTTACGAATAGAGAAGCATGATTGAAACTAGCTACAGCCCTACAGCCCTACGGGTTGCACCGAACGATCCTCGAAGAGCGACCACTGAAGACATCTTGATTTCGCAAAGAGTTTGTCACACGGAAGGCGAGTAGCTCTCGCCCACTGGTGAAGCATGTCTGTCGGTTCCTATGCATCCCGTATTGGCTATGAGCACGAGCCAGGAAGCGAGCCTCGTCCTTCGGTGGGGTTTTTGCATGTGGCTAAGAACGCAACTTTGGTAATGAGGGAAGTGTCACAGCGGATAGTGTCACTGTCGGCGGAGGTGCAACTGTCATCTCTGGTAACTTCTCAGACGAAGAGTTTCTTGCGGTCATGATCTGCGCTTGCCCCATCCATCACCTGCAGAGCGATCCATTCTTCGTCGGGTAGGTCGCCCTCAGTCCCCGCCGGGACAGTGGGAACGACGCGAACTGGAGTTCCAAGAAAGAGATATTCAGGAGTAAGTGCGCGAAGGCGAGAGGGATAAGCGTGCGCGTGAGATTCGCGAAAGGAAAAAGCACGAAAGAGACATTCGCGAACAACTCCTTTCACCACGGCCTTTGCATGCGCCCCCGATCCAGACGCGTTCGCCTCCACCTCCCTCAGCAGCCAGTCCTCACGAGTGGACCTACGCCATTCAAGCCGACCGTTATCGCCTCAACCGCTATGCCTTCCTCAATGGTAACCGCCAGATCCTTGGGACGTCAGGTGAACCTACACCGCAAACGCCTACATCCTTGCGCAGCACGCCTCAGCATCTCCGCAGCAACCATCACCGGCGCTGCCTTCGACTCAGATGCTACCGCCTCTATCTACGCTGGATAGCTGACCCCCTCAAACTTACCCCCATGAGCCGCGCATCCTCACCATATGGGTCATCTCCAGGCAATTGCCCCTTGGCGCCCCGAGCACTCATGTCAGCAGCATGTGCCGCCGCAGCATCGCTCCGCCGTCTATCAGGCACTCCCTACCCGTCGCCGGGAGTTCCAGACCAGCCAATGGTGGTCTTGCCCCAGCGAATCAGCCTGTCATCAGCAGAACACAGACTCCGTTGGTGGCCACGCCTGTGGCGTCGGCACTCGCCTATGGCCCCGGAAAGGCCAAGCGAACCTCTCGTGGAGATTTACCGGGCCAAACTCGTGCTGATGGGACTGTCTACACTTGGCCTGAGTGCATGACAGGCGTTCCGAGGCGCAAAATCTATCCTGACGACCTATCTTAGGAGTCCGAGTAGAAGGATATGCGATCAGAGGTCGTCGAGGCGACGGCTAGTCGGGTCACGTCACCTTGCCATAGTTCCTTCTGCGGAGTCTTACGCTCCTTCACTTTAGTCAATCAGCCCCTTCCCTTTACATTTAATTCCTATATATTTGAATTGCATTATAGTCTTGAGCATTCACAGCTTCCTATCGAGTCAATAGCACGAAAGTTCAAGATGACTCCATACAGTGTTTTTGTGAAATATTGACGGTGTACTCCTTTGAACGACAAATTACCTTACAAAACCCTACATCTCATAGTCACTAAAAGTATTTCATAGTGTGAAAAATGTTGTGACACATAGCACTATATTGGCCGGCTGCAGCCCACTTTGAGTGACCCAGGAGTACAAGTATTCGTTCAAAACCGGATGGTATCGCAGCGGGAGCGCGGCTTATTATAATTTATTGAAGTAGATTCCATACACACAGGTCCATACCCTAGCTCCGTTAATAGACAGGGTGCGCCAACAGGAAGGTACATTTGCTCACAACTATGCTCCATTGCCTACTGTACCCTTTTGGACGCGAGAAGGATGCGGGACTCGTAGCCCGCCAAAGGGGCCTCGCATAGAAGGCTGCAGCAACAAGCCACAATACGGGTGGCAGGAACAGTTCCCCGGCACAGGGGTTGATTCGCCGCCTAGCAGTGGCTTAGGCTGAGGATGGTGGGTGGGGCAGCGGCTAGAGCAAGCAAAGGTAGCCTGATACTAGACGTGTTGGCTCAACGCGTTTTTCGACTTGTTTCCGATTCCCACCCATCGCCTCTTTCTTGTCATCAGTCGCCCGACTTCAATTAATGCTGTGTTCTTTTGCGCTGTCACGCGTACCTCTCATGTCGACATGGCGGCGACGAGCTCCTTGGAAAGGCTGCTCCGGACAGTGCGCTCACAGGAGAGCAAAGATCGTGCGCACGGAGATGAACTTGACCTTGAGATTGCCAGACTTGAGAGGGAGCGCGTCGGCATTGACGCGCGCCTCGAGAGGCACAAGGCGATCCAATCGAAGCTCGAAGTGCATGCCGCGACCAAATCGCAACTCGAGACCGACATTGCCCAGCTAGACGAGGACATCCGGAAGCAATGCGAGAAGTATCGCGATTTCTCCGATGGCTCGTTGTTAAAAAAAGTCTTTCGAAGCGAGCAGCCTCTCATTAGGCCTTTGATTTCACAGAGGGAGGCAAAGCTGCGGAGCCTACGCGACCTAGAAATCCGAGAGCCGGGCCTTTTTGATGAAATTGATGCGGAGGACATCTACCTTCCTGAATCAACGCCATCAGATGATGGATCTGGCGATGTGGATCATGGCGGGGATAGAGGTTCGAGTACGACGGATGACCCCCCCGACACTATCGACGAGCAAGCAGTGAAAGTCCTTCCTCGCCAGTCTGCACCAAACCATAAGATTCAAAAGGTGAACGCGAGGTCCTAGATGACCGAAACTGGACTAATACGTATCCCAGAAGCGTCGCCGGTCTCAACGAGAAGACACTCCGCGCAAAGTCTCTAGGCTCGCAGACCGTACAATCGATATTAGCATATTCTTCCAAGATGGCAAGAGTAAACACAGGATATTCAGAGCCAATGGTGACGAGGAGAATTGGTGGATTGTGTGGTGCAAAGAACACAGCATGACTTTCACAACCAAGAACCCACTTGCCGGGGCTGGCAAGCATCTACACTCCGACCGACATGGGAGCATGGATAAGTCGAACGAAACGGCCCTCGCACACTTAGGCTACAAGGTGCTCAACTGCAATCCGCAGCTGGCAGAGGAGAACAACCTCGCTTTAGACGCGGAGCTGGAAAATCGCGGGTCTCATGCTCCTCACAAGAGCAAGTGGCACATAACGGTATCCGGCGGCGGCGACGATGGCACAGCCGATTTTGTTCCCGAGGCTCATGTCGAGAAGCCGATGAAGCGGAGAGCCGACACCTCATCGCAGGCCGTGCTCGATCCCATCCCTGGTCACATCTATCTTGCCTGGATATCGCAGGACTTTAGGGGTGCATTCTGCTTGCCACTCCCGCCCACTGTCGAAGGGACTGGCGACGCCGAGCTGCAGGCGCATACGGAAGATCTCGTCGAGGAAATGAAGAAAGAGCCTCCGGCTTGCTATACTATGAGGAATGGTAGATTTGTGTGGGCCAAGGACTACGAGGATCATGGGTCTAGGGTCCAGGAGCGACAACATCCTGTAGTCATTATCAACAATGACAATAGGACGAAATGGACGCGAGCTTGGATTCCAGCAAAGAATCTCCGGGAGGTCGGCGAGACTGACCCATCTCTGCATTTCGTCGCTAACCGCAGCGCTGTTCTCAGGGAGCTGGAACGGCGAAACCGCCAGGACGAAGGCAGCCCGGTCGCAGGGCTTGGCGAGGGACAGACTTCAGGTGTCCAGGGCACAGGCAATGGTGACCCGGAGATCAAAACCCAATTGTCTGTAAATGAAGACAATCCACAACCTGCCGCGGAGCCAGATACAGCCGGCGAATCACCGACACCAGACCGTTCTCGTGGCAGGCAAGGAAGTGCCTTCTCGACCCGGAGACCAGAGGATAAAAATTCTGCCACTTGCTATCCAAGCTTTCGTGGCTCTACCACTGCTACGGTCACCGACGAGTCGGTAGGTGGTGAGAACAAGGCGCTGCGCCGATTTTCCATCAAGATTGGAGAGCTCCTCACCTAGTGACTTTCTTCGAAAGATAGCTCGAGACGCTCTGCAATCTCCCGATATGATCCTAGAGTACCAGACGTCCGGGCATGGTGCAGCCACCGGCGGCAGCAGTTAGGCGCGCGCCAGCGTGAGCTACTACAATGGCTATCATACGACAAGTTTTCCACTTCACATAGGTGGTGGAAGCAACATCCACCATTAGACTGTGGATCCATCTACAACTTCACTGTGCTCGATGGCTAGCTTCCGGCCTGTTAATAGCAGCCAAGGCGAGCCAAACACGTACGGAGTGGGCGTGTTCGCTAGGATCTTACTTCTTAGATGAGATCTACATGCTCCTGGCAGAGAATATGGCGATCGCATGTTTTAGTTTGGAGGGGGTCTTATTAGGCGCAAATCCGGCTGGTCCGGTCGGCCGGCTGAGCCTTGGGTTCTTGGCTCGGATGGGCTCTTTGCGTCTGTTTGCTTTGCTTCTGTGGACGGACGTTGACTCATACTAGTATTTACCTTTGTCTTGCGCGCCGTCTTCTTCGGCATTGTCGAGCTCGTACTCGGTACGCTGAGACTTTAAAGTTAGATGCTCCACCTCTGTAGCCTGGTTGAATTGTCTATTAAAGTGCTACAAGGAAGCAAGATCGGTGTGGATGCAACATGAACCGCCGAGGGAGAATAATCAACGGTCACAGGATATCAATTGCCCTTTCGTGACAATAAGGGCGCGTGACTTTCGGACTAGTCTATATCCAGGGAGAGGAGACAACCCATTCTTTAGTTATATTAAAGAACACGAGGATGTTGTTAGTCGGTCCACTATTCGGGCCACAGTCGAGTCCAATAGAAAAGCCACCGGCGTTAGCGATTGTATCGACTACGATAGAAGGCGGCTTTCCGTGTACTTTGCTGTGGATGTGAGTGCTCGAGCCGGCATGGGCGTTTGAGGACATGGGCTCATGGCGGTAAATGAGTCATGGCATGTAACTTAATGTGTCTACAGTAATTATAATATGTGAGAGGCGCCGGCCGCATTTCGGATTACTATCGTCTGGCCTCCTATACCAGCGTCCGGAATTGGCACATGACGACCATTACAAAAGGCCCAAGCTGGCGATGTCCGATTTCAGCTTCGGAATAAGTCATATGTCAGGTGCATTAGAACGCCCGGTTCTTTTATCCGTCTGCAGAGCGATCGGTCTTCATGAGTGTCGGCCTTCTGCAGCCCTGTAGCCGACTTTCCCCTAGTCCAGCATGAGGGGCAAATGAATTGGTTAAGCGTATCACTGCGTTTCACTAGATCACATACAGCCTCCACCCCATGGAATCGCCGGAGTCAATGTCCGCTGGTTGCTACGTATTTACCATTGGGAAGCCAGAACCTGCCTAAAAGTCTAAGGGGAGCGAGAACGGAGATAAGAAACTCAGTGGCGATTTCGTGTCCGAGGTTATGTCTTCCTGGAAGATAGCCTGGTTGTCAGCTCGACCGCTCGGCAGTGACATGTGCAATTGTTACCCTATACTGATCACGACCTGAGGCGCGCACAGACCTGCGCGCATCTCTGTTTTCTAGTCAAAGGCGTAGCTAGTGATTGTAGCTCTTCGAGCTACGTCTTGTCAATAAAGCCAGTCCTACCTGAGAAGAGTGCCTGCCCGTAGCAATAGACTTACTCCTGATGTCTCGTCCCCCCCTTCACCTGAGACGCCGACTAGCCGTGACAGGCGCTCTGGTTTGTGGATACACCGTAGCCGAGAGACCCTGGTGTCTTGCTAGGTGGTACAGTATTACCAAATGTGCACTGTTAAGATGAGTTAGTAGCACGTGTCATCCTTTCCGACGTGATCGGATCCGCTCCCTACCCCCTAAGATATCTACGTCGCTAACGATGGTTTCCGCTGCTGGCGCCTGACCTGCCACGCGATGAGGACATCGGCCGACGGAACTACCACGACTAGCTCTTAGGCTAGGCATTCAGCTCCGTTTAGTAATCGTTTAGGCCTTTGTCTAGTGTAGCGAGGATCTGGTGCGGGCTTATGGCGCGTGGCTAAATCACGAGGCCTCCGAGGAGCAGAAAGGGTATTCTGAATTTATACAACAGCTGACATGAAAGTATGGTTTTGACCGTAACAAGGAATAGACCTTATTTTTCTTATCGAAGAAGAAGGCGTACCTCGGGGAGTTGTATGGCGGTTACGTATGCAACGTTATATGGTTCATGAAGCAGCGACAGAAGGCAAGGGGCAATGAGAAGAATGGTTTAGAGCACAAATTGTATATTAATTCATGATACGTCGTTTGGCAGTCACCGAGAGTGTCCCGCTAGTAATTTAAAGTCGGTTGTGTCGGCAAGTTCGACAAGCCAGGATTCGACATCCAGCACATTCAAAAATGTACTGGGGAAGATGGTCCTGACATTCCTCGCATTGAAAAGCGCCCGGCCGAATGCTCCAAGATTCATGGCCACATTCCTGGTTGTCTCGCAAGTTCTGCTGCTCTTGTTCCATTCGAGCTGCTCGTTCCGCCTCATCCAATTCGTGCCCCACGTCTCGATCTACAACGGTACTGGCACGATCTAGCAGCCTATTTTCATGCCACTGTTCACAATTGCAAGTCTTCCACTTCTCTCCGCAAACATAACAGAATTGAGCACCGCAACGACAGGCTATTGCAACATTAGCGCGGCGTTTCTGAGTACAGTACGCTTTGATTCCAACTTACAGATGTGATTACACCCAGTGCTCAGCTCTATCAAGTTACGGCAGGATAAGCAACGTTGCCAGCCTCGTTTGTTCGCCAGCCTCAGTGCATCCAGCGTGGTTGCATCAGGGGGACAATCGCCCTCATGAGCCGGTTTTTTACAGTCCGTGCAAGTGCGGCTGTGACACTTGACACAGGTTGCTCTTCTGCCTCGAATGAACTGTGGCGGCACAAACGTCGAGCAGGATAAATTGTGGCAGTATGTTCGATTTGGTGTGCCATGCTCCACCTCCTTAGCACGGTATCTCCCTGCAAGCTTGGGCGGAATAAAAATTTGATTCAGTCCAAGAGGGATGGCTTGGCGACAACATCGAGCTGGGAAAAGAGATTCGTCATTTATCGCAGCCTCGAACAGACCTGCGATACAAGTGCGGCAGTAGTCATGGGAAGAGGGGCAACGAACGGTGTCGATGTACGATACATCCTCTTCGCAGCCGGTGCAATGTCGGGTACCGTATTTTGCAGCTGCTTTCGCCCCCTGTGACGATGATTCCGCGTGGACAGCATGCGGAGCACGGCCAGGTAATTTACCAGCATCGATGAACATGATAGCAAGTTTTCCCATCATCTCATCATCGATAAGTGGTGCGGATGAGAATGTGTGCGGCGAAACGTTCATCGGGTCGATATTGACTGAGTCGGGATTCATCGAGTCAATATTTGTCGCATACTCTCTGTCATATATAGCTTGCTGCTCTTCGTCGAGGCTGCGTTGAATGGCTTCAGTATCCGACAGCATTGCTTCAGCAATGCTGCGACACATGATGTCGTCAGCGATGAAAGTCTGGAGTTGCTCAAGCTCTTCTTTGAACATCTGAACAGCAAGTTCAGCATCCGGCAGGTGGCCAACAGCATGTTTCCCTTTGAGCAAGCTCTCTGCATCCTCCAGTTGAAGCTTGGTAATCAAATCGAGGCTTGCATTGTCGATCGGGTAAGCCATGGTGGAATCTTGACAGGACTTCTCTTGCACGGTAGATAATTGACAGGTTTTCTCTTGGACGATATGCATGAATCTGATGCTGCGTAGGATGTGAGCTGGCGCATTCTCGAGCTGACAAGTTGCTGCGCCAGAAGAGTTGCTGCCTCAGAAGAGTTGCTGCCTCAATTCGAAGGCAGCAGTTTCCCAATGCGGCGAGTTGGCGTCAAAGATTGGTAAGTGTTCGCCAAGCCAAGCCAATCAAAGCCGGTCTTCGAAAACCCTTGCCAGAGGAACCAAGTTAATCCGCTCTTCGTCATGCTGCACTGATGTACGGATAGCCGGAATTGGACAGAATAGCGTACGACACGTGACTCGACTGCCCAGCCTTGCGCAGGATATTTTCGCGCCACGGAGCGGCAATTCCCAAGCCAAGCCATTGTTGAAGAGGGAGAATGAAGGAAGCCTGAGACATCACCAGCATGAGTGCGGTTAAATATGACCAACTTCTAAGGAATCAAAAGTTTGTTCCGTAAGGACCGTAAGGAGCGTGCGCAACTGGCTAAACATATTGCATTCAGGTACATTCAAAGACTATTTCCAAGAGCGATGTATCAATGGATGCCAGCCAGCCTCAAGCACCTCTATCGCCTTGTTCCTTCAGCATCATTGTTCTGGCGATCTCCATATATCGCTGGACCTCGGTTGGCCCGAGTTCGTCAAATCTCATTCGACGATCTTGCACTTCTGAAAGACTGCGTTTAGAAAAGTGAGCAAAGCTGGAGTAACGAACTTAAACATACCTGTTGTTGTTGTTGTGGCCCGAAGTGCGGTTTTTGAATGACAACAGCAGCAACGCCACCTCAGGAACATTCCAACCATTGAAGCATACTCTGCCTATCTCATAGGCTATTCGTGTCTTGGATTGGGTTGTTGTATGCTTGAAGGACCATATCGAACGAAGATCCTTCACACGGTTTGTCCATAACTTCATAGAATCGATATTCGCGAATTCAGGAAAGATGCAACGCTTATAACGCATTAGCTTTCTTAGTTCAAATCATTCCTCTGATAGATGAAGCGAACCAGCATCTCTGGATGGAGTGCCAGGGATCGGAGGTTTTTGTAGAGCTTCTCCCTCGGGCAAGTGGCTAACAAATGCCGAATTCTGGTCGAGCTGATATGCATCGGGTCCCCCGTGGTAGGAATAAAACGGATCCATTGCTTCGGCGTCTGCTTGCGATGACACACTTTCACGCCCTCTAATTGTTCGAAGTATTCTAGGAGACACTCTTTCAAGAGTCTTCCGAACATAGACGGATCTACAAAGTTAATTGACCGTGAATCGAGAAGCTTCGGGCGACTGCTCACCTTCCTGTTGAGCGCAGCTCATCGCTTTTTCCCCAAGCATATTTAAACTGGTTGGACACCACGCGACCGTGCGCAAAGCTCGCTGGTGCATTTGGTCCTCATTTTCGACAACGGCTTCCCAGTCTTCACAGTCCTCTATCCGGAGCAATCTTCCGTGCGAAGAGGTAAAGTCAGCAACTCGTCCCGCATTCCCAACAAGTATCTCATCACAATCCCAAGCGCCCCAATGAGGGGGAAAAGTACGCCGTATATGGTCTGGGCCGAGCAGAACTGTAAATCCTATGTCGAATCCGTCCCGACAAATTGCGAGGGTAAGACGCTGTCGAAAATAACCCCATTCCTCTACGCTGCGATCATATACCCAAAGCCAGTCATGCGGAACATATTCTCCTCGCCATAAACGCACCCTCTGATCCTTGGTGAAAACACGGCTACCTTGGCACTTCTGTGCTACATCCTCATCGTCTAAGAGGATCACAATGGCAGCAATCACGTTGAGATCTTGGCTTCTGGAAAAGGCCTGGTAGAGTAGTTCCTGGTGTGCTTGGTGTGGAGGATTGAACGACCCAGGATACAAGAGAATGCGGTTTCTGCGATTTCGCTGAAGTTGAGGTCGACTATGCGTAATCCCTTGATCGAATATTTGTTGGTGGATCGAATAAGATCCCTGAAAATGACAATCTTCGATGTAGCAGCCAAGATCTGCCGTGGATTCCATGCTGGTTAGTGCCGTTGTTTATACCGCTACTAGGCCGAGCCACTACCGGCTCAACAAGGCTTTTTGGCGTTTGATGTCTGGTCCGGGGCGAAGTATACTATAGCAAAGAGGGGGAATGATAGAAGACACTGGAGTGTCGATGTTTTGAACAAACAGATGAAGGAGTTTATCTTTGAGTATATGAAGACAAGCTGTCAGATCGGCGATCAAGTCAGGAAGATGAGTGCGCCATTGCAAAGCTTAAGTTCTTAGCGTGACTGCCAGTCCCTTTCCTCATCGAGTGCTCAATGAGTTCCACCTGGCATGGTCATAAGAAATACGACTACATGAGGTCATGCTTCTATTGGGTGACTTGAATGGTTCCGCTACGAATGATAACGACAACGCTTGTGCTGGCAAGCATGGTTTGGATCGCGTTTGGAATGGAGCTCGAAGTGAGCTAGCCACCCTATTTCAGATTCACACCCACGCGGAAGTCACAGCACTACTGCCCCATGTTACGGATTCCACACAGTCGAGAAAATGGCCCGGTCATGGCGTTCCGATGGCTACTTCGACAACAGGTAAGTAAGTAGCTAGTCGTCCCGTCTCTCAGACGAGTCTGTCATCTCCCAAACCAAAGGGTAGAACGCCCTAGTAATTTAAGACATGTCATACTCAGACTACCTGCCGTAGGGCGCTGATTCACCCCTCGTCAAAGGATCAGGGGTTTCCCTATCTATTTCCGTGCTTGCTAGGCATCCAGCCTGCTGTTGACCTCCAACACTAGTCAACGACTACGCGCGATGGGCGAGATTGAACTTCACAATGTATTCACCGGTTTAGCGCTACAAGTGCCTACAGGTCACCTATCAATTCACCAACACCGCTGAGGGACTGCCTGCTTATCGATCGCGTTGAGCATCTGTAGCACTGCGGCCTTGTCCGCCTTTGATCGCTGCTTGTCTGTCGGCAGAGGTGTCAAGGTTTGGTGAACGTGTTCCGGGGGCGTTGTGCCTCTATGTTGAAGGTCACGGTGGTTCTGGAAATTGCAGTGGCTTCGTCGGCTGTCTGAACGGCAGCTGATCGAACTTGCAGCCATGTTATTGAAGAGAAACTCGACTGTGTGAGGTTTTAAGAATACTACACCTGCAGCTAGCCGGGTGTTTGCTGGGAATTTGAGGTTTGCTGTAGCCTGATATAATCAAGTCGCCCAGCTCCTAAGCCAGAAATCATGTGACCATGCATGTGATTTCGCTCTGGCTATGACTCACTGCAAGGAGGCTTCTAGGATATGACGGATATAATCGTGCCAACTTGACCTTTTCTCCGACTGATCCAACACTGGCTCCCCGACTCTGGAAAGCCCAGACGGATAGATTTTGTCCTTCTCCGCCGAGACGTATCTCCGAACGATTAAACAGCTAATGTCATCGTTTGCACTGCCCCTACAGTCCTTGGTGTTCGGTCACTGTTCGGAACCTACCACCGTGCCCACGAATTGTAGCGCATGCGGTAGCATGTCGGGTCATGACGCTGCGCTGGCTCTTGCTTTCACAAGCCATGTGCACGATTTGGTATGTTTTTCCTGAATTTTCCGTCATGTTGGAATCACGATCCGTAGAGGCTACGTTGCCACCTAGCCCCCCTTTGCTCTGAGCTTCATACCGCTTTCTGTGTTTCGTAACCAAGCCCAGCACTGGAAACTACTCCTATAATACTATAGGTTCTACTACTGGTTTTTAAATGTGCCAGCAGGTTTGGCTATAGCCTGTTGCGTCCAATGCTTGCCCTCGGCTCATTGTATCGCCGACCAGGATAAGGTGTAGAAACGCGTTACCTATCAAGGCCAGAGACTTGTTTCCGTGCCCTCTTGTATTACACAAGACCTGGACTCGTCTGGTCCCATATCTCTACAGAGACACAGACAAGTTACATCTTGGCGTGAGTATGTTCCAACCGTCCACACCAGGGCACATGACGGAGACTCGTTCGCCAAAGCCCCCATCTGTTGATGCAATACGAGGGTTGAAAGGCCATTCCAGACCGTGGGCGGCGTTGGCTTGTTCGAGACCGAAATGTATATCTTCGGAATGCACGGCGGGCGCGTCGGCGGGAAGACGTCGTTCAAGCGTTGTTTTATTCTTGGAGCGTATTGGAGCTGCGAGGTTCGCCGATATCTTGGTGGCCGCCGTCGGAACCCCTCCGTCGCCATTGTATTACCTGCGCATGCTGCACGGGGAGGTTGTGGCTGTTGCCACCGCTTTCGGTTGCCGAGACTGGAATTTGGCTTGCGTGCTCCCTGGTGTCTGACTCCGCGACCAAAATGATTGGAATTGCCAAGCACTAACCTCCCGTGTGGTATTTGTGTTTTGGCTAACGCTTCTTGGTTGGAATGTGGAGATTTCGCAACCTCGTTAGACTCTCAAATTCATTCCGAAGAGCCAGAGCTCGGCAAGAGGCAGCGGCTGGCAAGGAGGATAAGTGCCGCCTGCTCCATCCTACTCGTTGTCCTCATTGAATCAGTCCAGGCTACTATTAAAGTACGCCTTCCAATCCGCTAAACGCGCCGTTTTACTTTCCACATCGACTTGACCATGGAGATCCGCTGCGTCATCTGCTTGCGCCGCTTTCGCACGAAAATGGCCCTCCTATAGCACAATGCATCAACCGGGCACTCAGTTTGCCAACATTGTCAAAAAGTATTCGCCAGCCCAGAAAGCCTCAAGCAACATACCGATGCAGCCCACGAGTGGAAATGTCCCCGCTGTCCCGCAAGCTACTCGACAACACCAGCCTTGGCAAAACATCAAAGAAGATCAAACCACTGCTACTGCGGTGATTGCAACAAGTCGTTCTCTAGCCTGTCAGCCTTGAACTCCCACTTGCAGAGCTCACTTCACTCGACCGAGTTTCGATGCTGCGACTGCGACCGACAGTTCAATAGCTCTCAGTCACTGGAGCAGCACCTCCAAGACGCTACTCATTCGCCAAAACCTGAACACAAATGCAAAACATGCCATCGCAAGTTCGGGACTGCCATCGCTCTTAAAAACCACATGCGCGACAAGACTCATCCAAAGCTCAAGTGTGACAAGTGTTCTCGTGAGTTTTCGCTTGCAAGTGCTCTGCAGCAGCACCTATAGTCTCCTGCTCACCACCCGTTGTGCAATCTTCGCTGCATTGGGAGTTCATGCCGCACAAATTTCTCTACGCCATCTGGATTGATCCACCATCTTGAAAGCGGGACATGTTCATCTGGGATGAGCCGCAAGAAACTCAACCGTCTTGTCTTATACTATGACACAGACCGCCTTATCACGCGGCCTCATCACGACGCGGACGGTGTTCTCCTCGAAGTCAATAAGCGACTGGAAACAATAACACAGGTCCAAAACACTGAGGTTGGCACGTTAAGCAAGAAACCTCCTTCCTGTGATTCCAAAATTTCGCTCACTCCCAGCTGGACTCCAAATTCGGAGAGTATTGCTTCCGAGGACTGGGCAGTGCTCGTGTCTCAATCAGGCACACAGCGCTGCCCTTTCTGCCCCTCAGAACGCTTGCCTTTTGCATCAGAACTAGCTTTGCAGCACCACCTCCAATCGGCAGCTCACTCTCAACCTTTCGTATTTTGTCCCAGCCCGCTGGGGTCCAAGCGAATGAGAAGCAAGCACCAGTCCGTGAGGTCTTTCAATACCATTAGCGGGCTGGTACAGCATCTTGAAAGCGGAAAATGCTCAGGCGGCATAGCTACATTCTGGGAGGCCATGAGCTATTTAGAGACACGTATAGAAATATTAGGGCTAGACATGAAATTTATTACTTAATTTACTTCGCATGGGCAATCAAAATGTAGGGCAGAGCAAGATCTCTCCCTATACTTACTTCTATATCCCTACTATCTATATCTCTCATCCTCCGTATTTAAATTCTTCTTACTATCTTTACCCTCTTTTTTCATCCTCTTTGTCCTTTGTCTTCCTTTACTTGCTATCTTTATTTCTCCTTCTTTACTTATTATCTCCTTCTCCTCTCCTCCTCCCCCCTTACTGTCGCAGTCCTCGCCCCCGCTCGCGCATATATACCTTTCGTACGAGGCTAGGCTGTTCATCCGGTGGCATGGCCGCCTCTTGTCGGGCCGGAGCTGTCGTAGAGCGTCGCGTCCGCGTAGCTCGTACGTCGAGAGCACGTCGAGCGTCCGTCATAGCGGCTCTCTTCGTAGGTGATAGGCCTAGTGCTTCGGGCCATCGGGCACGAGGCACGTCCCGCAGCGCCGGCATAATACCACCCTTTGCTAGGCGTTATAGGCGAGTTCGTGGACGGCTGTAATCAAGAGCGAGACGGGGGGCGGGACGGAGAGAGGGAGGGGGAGGGTATCGTTTAACCTCCTTCCCCTTCCCCTTTCTTTCTTTCTTACTCACTTACTCACTCACTCACTCTCTCTCTCTCTCTGTGTCTTTCCTTCCTTCCCCTATTAACTAAACACGGACCTTATAGTACGCCCCGCTCGACCAATCACCGTCGACTCTTTCATACGATCCTCTTTCGTGCGACACCACCGCGCCGCGCGACCACCCCTGCCAGGTCACCGCGCCCCGGCAGGGATCCCCCTTGAAGCAAAGAGGCGCGTAGAAGAAAATCTTTCTCCGAAATGGGGCCGGTGCTGTGGCTGACGAAGTGGCTGAGTGTCCCTTTTTGTGTGACTGTCACGTGCAGCCACTGATCACATCTCAAAGTCACATGACAAAGCACGAGACAGCAGGATGATGGAAGAGTTGCTCCCCGCAGCCTTGAAGCTTCCTTCATTAGCAGGCGATTCGTTTCCAAAAAATCCGCCATGATGCCACAATCCGAGGGCACAATGGCAGGCCTCTCACCCGGCGACTTCCCCTCAGGCTCGCCTAACACATCACTACCAGCAACGACATGCGCTAAGATATCTCCTGGAAAGAATGCAGAAACCGCAAAGGCCACACCAATAACAGATGACGCCATACTGGAAGAAGTAGCAACCATAGTTACTGAAAAGCCGCTGAAAGTCCGCCCAATGACCCAAACTAAGCGTACTGTTTCGGATCTCACGGTAGAGCTTCCAGACACTGAAGAAAGTATTGTTCTGCAAACATGGAACAAAGCACTATCGCTTGATGAAGGAAGATGCGGCGCCCCTACGAAATCTACGAAGAACATTGAGCGTTGCATGATCAAGATAGCTCCGTCGAGGACGACAGAAATTCAGAACCTGATAAAAATGCTCAGGCGCCTGAACCACTCACCTCGGCAAGTTGAGAGACACCTCGACGATCTCGCAAAACTTGTACACTGTCACTGGCACGATCACCCACCTATTCGTGATATTCGAATAGACGAGTGGTTAGCAGCCCTGCCTGATTCACCACGCACTCCGACGCTAGAGAGACGGCTGCGCACTATTCTCGGTCCAGCGCCAAGCAAATGTGCGAGTCTGACAAAATTGGGCAAGCCCTGTAGGAACTCGGTCAAACGCGAGGATCAGTATTTCTGTGGAAAGACTATTAGTAAGATGGTGCAGATCGCGACTGTCGCTTCAGACGACGACACTTTGGATGACCTCGCGCCGGTTTTGCGGCGTCATATGCTGTGCCACATGCACCAGAAGTACACTCCTACATATCAGGACGAGTATGCATCAGCAATCAATAAGTTCCAGGCAGCTTGTCAACATGAGAGAAAAAGGCGTGAAACCGAAAATGCAATTGCAGAGACAAACAACACCGGTGAGGGCAATACAGCTGCCCTAATGGACAGCGGCAGCCATGCACTTATAACGCCACCATCTAGCCCGAAAACTCTCAAAGTGAGCCGGAATCCTCGCAACTACTGGAAAGAGGGGTTCGACATGAGCCCATTTGACGTGCTCGGGAAAAATGATATCGTTGAAAAATATAAAACCCCAAACGAGATGATTCGGAGAGTTGCGGAGGATTTACTTGACACAAACCCGAAACCGTCAAAGAATGAGGTGGCTAATGGTTATCTGTATTCATTCAGAGTACCTGGCAATGAACGCTTTGTCAAAATTGGATTCACGACGCGAGAAGGTGAGACTCGTATTGAGGAGTGGAAAAGAAATTGCAATCGAGATCCTGAAATTCTCTACCTGGCGACGAACGTTGTGCCACATGCGCACCGCGTCGAGAAATTGGTACATGCAGAGCTCATGGAGCATAGAGTGCGGATATACTGTGAGCGATGCGGGAAACAGCACATTGAGTGGTTTGAGGCGCCGGAGGCTATTGTGATTGCTTCTCTGAAGAAATGGTCACTGTGGATGGCGGGCAAGCCGTATGAAAAGAAACATTTGGAATGGCATTTGAGGGAAAATTACAAGAAACGTCTGCACGACGTCGGGAAATTCTTGAAGGACTTGCAAGAAGGAGTAGAGGCTGCCGAATTGGAAAACCAAATTAGCTAGGATAGGGAGCCATTCGAAAGTCACCATGAGGAACCTCTGAAGTTTGTGCCAGACAAGCGATGCCCACATCCATTTCTTGAGGAACCCAGGAGTAGCATCCCAGATTTCTTTGCTAACTAAGTTAACTTAAGACCGCATGTATGTCTGATGTCCGTACACCACCCAGGTTCAAAACAGCCTTAATGTCTCTCTCACAACTGGGACCATGCGCCGCCACGCCCCATCGATGTATCTCGTTGATCCAGTCCACTAGCTCCTCGACACCGTAGACATCTGTGCAGTCTGCCCCGACCAGCCTCGTCATCGTACAGCCATGCCACCGCTCATCTCCTCGTGGCTCGTGTGGTTCGAGAACCCAGAAAACGAACTTTGACCCCACGAACGTCAGCGCGTAGTGCCGAATGTTGGAATCCATTTCCAGACCCGGCCGTGCTTCGCGGGCCGCCTCACGGAGTTTGTACCTATTGTACAGTGCCATGGAGCCTGCAGCAGCCACTTGTGCAATGGCGGCGTCCTCAGATACGCCATCCCGCTTGAACTCGACTGTGAAATATGGACACGTAATCCAGTCGCGCACATATGCGCAGTTCTGGATTTGGAACCGGTACCGCGGATTGAACCCTTTGAGGGACAGCCAATATGCGCAGTCAGGTCGAATATCCCACGACCACTCCACAATAGGGTGTGTACTATCCAGTACAGGAGGTTTGCGCCAATGCGTGTTCTCCTTTGGTGGATTGACCAGCTGCAGCATCCGCTCGCCTCGCCATTGCCTATCATCCGAGTCGGGCAGGTACCGCGGGGAGCGTCTCAAGAATTGCTCCTTGGCGAACGAGGCAAACTCCTCCTCACATAGACCCAGCGCCTTCATCTCCTTGTATTCGTTCGACAGCGACCGTACCCAGTCAGCATTGCCGCTGACCCAGATGTCGGTATGAGATAGCCCCCCCACTTTGTCATAGCCTTCTGATGGACGGTTCGTATTGAAGTGGGCGAACGCGCTAGCAACGATAGCGTTCGTATCTTTGACTCTTATAGCACGCGGAAGCAGGATCAGTTCGGTAAATTTCGCGTTGCGAGGTGTGACCCCCGTGCGAGACGTCAAGGTGCTATCCGGAGTACCGACCGACTCGCCTGAGTCAACGAGATTGGGCTGATCGGACAAGCTCGATCGGCCGGTATCAGATGCTAGACCGCGAGGCAGACGGGAGTTGCGCTTCGCAGCACGTGCAGACATGTCTCGATTCTTCCGCACTTCGATCCAAGTTGCGTCAGTGTTGTCGGCGTCGGCGTCAGGGACTCCCATGGGGCTGTTGGGTCGCAGGGCGGTGAGCATCATCTGCAAGATCCCGACACAGCCAATGGCATTGGAGAAGGCATGCGCGTACCCGAAGAGTGCGGCCTTGTTCGCGGCAGCAACCCTTTATCGAATATTTGGGGCAGCATTGACGTCGCGTATGAGGTTGTACGACAAGGTGATATCAGGGTAAACCGAAGCCTTGTAATGCGAAATCCAGCGTTTCGCGGCGAAACGTCGGGAAGTGGACCTGGCATCCAATCACTGAGGCGGATCCTCCTCCAGGCTGACTCGCCGAATGAGCGCAAGCCTTATCTTGGATAATTGGCGGGGTCGCAGCTCCACCTGTCCTCGAAATCTGTTATGCATAGTTCTCTCCATGCAAGAGATTGCTCTGGCGGTTATCTCGACAGGACTCGCACGAAACTAGTCGCGCTTCATGGCAGGTCAAGACTGAGAGGTACTAGTTCCGCCAGTTCTATCGGAAGTCGCGGGAAGTAGTCTAACGATTTTTCATCTTCTCGGCGTACCGTGGTTAAACCTCCGACTCTAATACTGCGAACCTCATTATTATATCCTCCTACCTTGGAGCTTGCTTACAATGACACTTTGATCTTGCGCTTCCAGAAACACAGTGACTCCTCGCTGCTGACTTGCGCGTTTAGGTACAGTAGTAGAGGTACACGAGTTCCAAAATCTTAGGTCGGAGGCAGGAATCTGTCAGTCACCATCGTTTTGGTGTTCTGTGCTTCTACGAGTACTTTCTAATGAGCGATTCTGGCCTAGCGTCAAGGTGCTGACATGGGTGATTTATTCTCCGGAGCCGAAGCCTCTTTCAAAATGACTGTGGCGCAGCTTCCAGAATGTTCTATTTCTGCCACGCATGCATTGCTGCCTAGCCTACGGTACCTCGAGCTGCAACCACCCTTTTCCCCTGCAGCCGGAACCGACTTCCTACAGTCGAACAGGCATTGGACAAAGCCAGTCAGGTACTGGCACAAGGCGTTCCTCCTGGCGTGCGCGATTTCTTCCGTGCTCTAGCAGATCACGGTGATGTTGCGCGTACTACCCTCCAGCATTGTGCACGCGGACGACGGTCGATCGAAGAGAAAGCACAGAGCCAACAACTATCTCCATCCATGGGAAGAAATCTCTGATCAAGTTTTTGGGTACAACGGGCTGCTGTTGGGCGTCCTGTCCGGATCAAATATATAGGCCCAATAGCTTTCAGTCTTGCTCGTCGACGTACTGTACAGTACTGCACTCGACTGTGTGCTCCGATTGCGGGACACTGCAGAGTACAGCCAATGTTGAGCGGCCAGTTGCCTTTGTTGCCAGTTGTTGATGGCCAGTTGTGGATGGCCAACAATGGCTCGGGACCCCGCAGCAACCATGGGCCAGCCACTCTACGGCCTCCACAGCCTCCACAGCCTCCACAGCAACATTGGTCCGGGGCATCTCCGCAATGGCAAGGATGGAATTCGCAGCCTCAGCAACAGACCCTGCCTTGGTTCCAGCCCTGGATTCAGTTGAATCCAAAACCACCGAGCTTTAATTACGCGTCAGTGGAAGACGGGATCCCGCTAGCTCAGGCACCACTAGATTTTGTCCATGCCCCTGACGGCTCTGTGTCCCGGCAGATGCCCTCAGGCATACATAGGGACAGCGAACCACGTGCTCAACATACGAATAGAGCCGGGGCCAATCCCTCTACTAGACGGTTTGGCCCTAGCAGAACCTCCCACAAACCAGACAGCATGCCAAGATCGCAAAACTATGGGCGTGGATGGTCGCGTACACGCTAAGGACGAGTGAGAACTTCCTGTGCAGGATTCTCGTAACCGCGGGCTCAAACACCCACTGGACGTCGGAGGTACACGCATAGGAGACAGATAGAAACCACTAGGCGGACAATTGCTTCATAGTGACTACTTAGTATAGCTGATGTTCGCGAATACGATTGAAAGGCTGGCCCTCTTGAGCTTCTATGAAATCCACCTGCTGCCGTCGTGAAGTTTACCACAAGTCTGTCCCTGAGGTGTTCAGTCTAGAGCTAAGGACTCAGGATCTCGTCCCTTGTCTTTGCGATTATTGTCCTCGGACTTTGATTCACCATCCTGGTATATTGCTGGAGGGCCAGAAGCAAGTGGCATCTAGGGACATGTTAGTCATCCCAGGAAGAGGTACAGCAGCATACCAAGTGCCTGATCGTTAGATGCAATCGCTGGTTCTCCTGAGTAATATGGTAGTTCTAAAATTCTGCTGCAGCAAGTCGTTCTTCGAGGAGAGATATCGTCGCTTCACGAGAGTTGATCATCTCTATGGCGGTGTGTAGGGTTTGTTCTCGTTCGTCATGACTTTGCAAGTAACAGCATTAAGATTTTGTGGGCTTCGCCGATTCTTAGATTTATATACGACGACACTATAGCTACTATAACTGGACCAATAGAGTCGAAATCTGAGTTGTATCCATGCATCCAATGAGATACTATGTTGTCCAGCGCCAACTGCCCAGTCAGCTTGGGTGTAGGCAAGGCCAATTAAGGGCACATGTGCGCAGTTCAAGTCTGCAACTCAGCCAATTCACAAGCCTGGAGTCACTCGCAAATCAAAAGCTCCTAAACAAAACCCACTCAAAGGCGGTGGAACAACCTTAGTAGAGCGATGCTACGTGTGCCGGCCGACTACGTACAACATGGACATTGTGCTGTTCACTCGTGACGGGAAAACTGATGCCACTCCACGGCTAGATGCTCCAGCGGGTTCGGCAGACTGGTCTCTTGAGCGAGCAGTCGCTCCTTTTCCGGGTTTCCTTCCTACCTTCCTTACGAATAAGGACCTTCACGAGTTTCATTAAGTCTATTCTCATCATTATAGCTTTCCAAAATCACCTATCTTTGTGAAGAATGGCGAAGCCAGTGTTCCTTTTCATCATTTTACTCTCCATCGTTTGCACTCTCCACTACCTACGAACGGATCCCCCATGGTCACGCAATGCATATGTTTTCTATGTCACGCAAGATACTTACGCCTGCTCGGCTTTGATCAATGTGTTCATTCTACGCCATTTATTCTACACCAAATACCGCATCATCATCTTGGTCTCCGACGAAGTTTCCACCGTCTATTATGAGGCATTCGCCAACTTAGGAGCTAGCGTTATCGAGAAAGATCCGCCTCCCCTCCATTCACAAAGTGTCGCATACTATCACGGATGCCTCCTCAAGCTGGTCGCGTTCAGCTTGATTGACTTAAAACCTCCGCTAGAGCGTATCATCACTATGGACGCGGACCAGCTCATATTGAGGGACCTGGATCACGCTTTCGACTTGCCTCTAACGAGTGTCTCAGCTCCAAAGGCCTACTGGATCGACAATCACACATATAGCAGCACCTTGATGGCATTTAAGCCCAGTCAAAGGCTATGGGACAAAGTCAGTGGAGCGATGCTATCGGTGCCGGCCGATACGTACGATATGGATATTATGAACAGACTCTTTCATGATACCTTTGAGGAGCTTCCTGGAACATATGGTACCCTAAATAGCCATTGGGAGGATAACAATACCCCTACCTGGTTTACCTCCCCAGAAGACCAAAGGATAAAGCCAACTCTAGATGAAGATTTGCGTGAGCTTTTCACAAGGGTTCATGTACTTCACTTCACAGCAGTTGGGAAGCCCTGGATGTATGATGTGGAAGAATTGTGGGCAAGAAGACCAGAGGCACATCCAATATTGATCGAGCAGTGGGCTTTTTGGAGGACTTCTGCCCTACAGCTTTGCCCTTCCGATATCATAGATCATGTGTAATCATGTCTATATAAGTCGGAGCTGGTCGACTTTTGCTAGCACCAGTTTTCAGGAGACGAACTTCCTTATGAAGATAGTCAGGTTTAGTTACCTAAGTGCACTGATAACGCGTCAGGGTTCCTATATTCACACGCCTCCCTTCTCTTCAGGCGAGCAACGCCCAACCTCGGTCTGCGCACTTAGTATTCCCTCGCCCTTTTGCGTGCGAAAAGGCAACCCCTGCCTCTCCTACCCAATCACATACGCTTCCCCTCCTTTTACAAGACACGCCT